CATACTTGCCTTGATCTCCATCTTAGGTAGCAAAAGATCTAATCTTTCACCATTAAGTATAATGTTAACTGTAGGATTTTTTTGTTGATTGTGTGTCTTGTTTTGTTTTGCAGATGTTATTTAAGTTGAGGAAGTCCCCTACTATTTCCAGCTTTCTGAAAGTTTTCACCAAGAATGGGTTTTGAATTGAATTGCATTGTCAAATGCTTTTTTCTATGTCAATTGATACGATCAGGTTTTTCTTCTTCAGTCTGTATGATGGATTACACTGGTTGATTTTCAGATACCTGGAATACTATCCCTGGAACAAACCCAACTTAGTAATGGTGAATAATTATTTTTATATATTACTGCATTCTATTTGGTAATGTTTTGTTAAGGATCCGTACACCTATTTTCATGAGGAATATTAGTCTATAGTTACCTTTTTTTTTTTTTAACTGTTCTTTGGTTTTGATATCAAAAGAATACTCCCTTCAGAAAATGAATTGGGAAGTGCTCCTTCCTCTTCTGTATTCTGGAACAGATTGGGTCGTAGTGGTGTTAATTCTTTTTTAAACATTTGGTAGGATTCTTTTGTGAAGTCTTCTGGACCTGAAGATTTTTTGTGGGGGGGTTACTTAATAGTACAAATTCAGCTTCCTACTATTATAGGATTATTTAAATTGTCTATTCCTGAGGTGCCTGGGTGGCTCAGTTGGTTAAGCGTCTGCCTTTGGCTCAGGTCGTGATCTCAGGGACCTGGGATCGAGCCCCATGTTGTGCTACCTGCTCAGTGGGGAGCCTGCTTCTCCCTCTCCCTCTGCCGCTCCCCCTGCTTGTGCTCTCTCTCTCTGTCAAATAAATAAATCTTTTAGAAATTGTCTACTCCTTTTTTTAAAATTTATTTGACAGAGAGGCTCCCCTTCTCTGTATTGAAATCTATTTTATACGTTCATATAGCCACTCCTGCTTGCTTCTGACTAATGTTTATGTGGTATATTTTTCTACAATTTTACTTTCAATCTACTTATATAATTATATTTGAAGTGAGGTTTTTGTCGACAACATATTTTTTCAAAGGTTTTATTTATTTGAGAGAGAGAGAAAAAAGCATGAGTGGGGGGAGGGGCAGAGGGAGAAGGAGAAGCAGACTCCCTGCCTAGCAGGGAGCCCAATGCAGGGCTCGATTCTAGGACCCTGGGATCATGACCTGAGCCGAAGGCGGATGCTTAACCAACCGAGCCACTCAGGTGGCCCTAGACAACATATTTTTTAACCCACTCTGCCAATCTCTTTTAATTAGCATATCTAGGCCATTTACATTTAACATAAGTCCAGCTATCTTAAGGCTTAAGTTCATTTCATTTTGGTTTTATGTCCGTTTTTTTCTGTTTTTCATTGTTTTGTTTTCTTTTTCCTTCTGGGTGAGATTACATTTTTATTTCTCTGTAGCATTTTTTGAGTGTATATCCTTGTGTAGCTATTTTAGTGGTGGGTCTAGGTATTACGTATACATAGCTTATCACAGTCTACTGGTACCATTATTTTACCAGTTTGAATGAAATCTAGAAACTTTACTTCTTTTTATGTCCCTTTATACTCTCCCAATTATAATTGTATTAAGTATTTCCTCTACATACATTTAGAGCCACATAGACAGTGTTATAAATTTTGCTTCAACCATCAATTTAGAAGGCTTAAGAGGAGAAAGAAGACAATTTTATTTACTATTTTTGATCACCAGGATTTTTTTTCCTTCCTGATAATTCAAGGTTGTTTCTTTTACCATTTCTTTTTGATTGATTTTTTTTTTTTTGTTTAGAACTTCTTTAGCAATTCTTTAAGGCAAGCCTGCTGATGCCACATTTTGTTTGTTTTCCTTTATCTGATAATATCTTGATTTTTTTTCATTCCTGTAGGATATTTTCATTGAATAGATTGTAGGTTAGCAGTTATTTTCTTTCAGTATTTGAAAAATGGTGTGCCACTTCCTTCTGTCCTCTGTAATTTCTCATCAGAAATCTTCTGAAATTTGAATTGTTTCCCCTCTGTTAATAAGGTATCATTTTTGTCTCTCTGCCATCAAGTCTTTGTCTTTAGTTTCAGAAATTTGACTGAGTCTTGGTGAGGACTTCTTTGTGTTTATCCTGTTTGGGTTTGCTCAGCTTCTTGAATATTAAGTCTTTTACCAAGTTTGGGAAGTTTTCAGCCATTATTCCTTTGAGTATTTTTTCATCCCTCCCTTCTTTTCCCTCTTCTCGGAGTCTGATGACATAAATATTTAATCTTCTGTTATAATTCCACGGGTCCCTTGTTTTTGTTTGTTCATTTGGTCTATTTTTGCTTTTTTTTTTTCAGACTGGGAAATTTCTATTGTGCTTTCTTCCAGTTTGCTGATTTTTCTTCTTCCTTCATTCTAGAGTTGAACCTGTCGACCGGGATTTTTCAATTTAGATTATTGCATTTTTCAACTTCAAAATTTTCATTTTGTTCTTTTTTTTTTTAAAGATTTTTATTTATTCAACAGAGAGAGATGAGGGAGAGAGAGAGCACACACAAGCAGGGGGAGTGGCGGGCAGAGTGAGAGGGAGAAGCAGGCTCCCTGCTGAGCAGGACTCTGGGATCATGACCTGAGCCAAAAGCAGACATTTAACCGACTGAGCCACCCAGGCACCCCCATTTTGTTCTTTTTTAATCTTCTGTTCTGAGACTTTGTTTTTTGTTTTTGTTCTTGTTTTGTTTTGCTTTAAGCATGTTCATAAATGTTCATCAAAGCATTTTCACGGTGAATGCTTTAAAGTCTTTGTCAGATAATTCAAACATCTCTGTTATTCTGCTGTTGTCATTTATTGTCTTCATTCAATTTGAGATCTTTCTGATTCTTGATATGATAAGTAGTTTTTAATTGAAACTTGAGTGTCATATTATATTATGAAATTCTGGGTTTTATTTAAACTTTCTCTTTTAGCTGATTTTCTCTGATATCATTCCAGCAGGGAAAGGGAGAATTCTGCTTTGTTACTGCCAGATGGAAACAGAAGTCCGGGTTTGCCTCTTGGCCTTCACTGGCTCCCCGAAGGGGATGGTGCTGCTCATGACTGCTGGGTGGGAGTGGGAATTCTGACTCCCCACTGGCCCTTCACAGATACCTCCCTGACTGGGAGGGGTGGGAGTGGTTTGTTATGGCTATCTACTTGGCTTGCATTGATGCCGTGGCAGAGGATGGTTTGTTATTACTGGATGGTGGTGAGAGTCCTGACTCCCCACGGTGCCTCCTGTTACACCACCTCTGTAGGGAGGGAGAGGGATGTTTTGTCACCACCAGGTGAGGGTAGATGTGTGGATGGCTCGTACGGTTTCCACTGTTATGGCCCAGCAGTGACAAATGTCCCAGCTCCATACTCGGACGTCTCTGATGCTATACTGGCCAGGAGGAGGTAGGGAATGTTGAGTGCCTTGTTATATAGCCTGGCAAGTGTAGAAGGCTAGGCTCCCTTCCCAGCGTTTGCTGGTATGGGTGGGGTAGGACAACAGTTTTTTGTTTTGTTTTTTTTTTTGTTTGTTTTTCCTGTAGCATTTGGCTCGAGTGAGCAATTATTGTCTATAAACATTTCCTATCTTGCCAGGTTGCTTCTTTCTGATCCTTTGGTTACAGAGACCTGGCTTTTGTTGGGCTTGTTTTGGCTGTCCTCACTGGTATTTCAGTTCGCAGCTTCTGAAGCTCCACGTGTGGAATATATGAAGCAGAAATCCCCACCACGCCATGCCATTCATCGGGTATGGTGGTACCTAGCCACGCTGCCTTCTGTCCACCTTGCAGAGTTTTCTTCTTCATTTTTTTAAAATTTTTTTTCTTAAAGATTTTCTTTATTTGACAGAGAGAGAGGGAGAGAGTGAGCACAAGCAGGGGGAACAGCAAGCAGAGGGAGATGGAGAAGCAGGCTCCCTGCTGAGCAGAAAGCCCGATATGGGGCTCGATCCCAGGACCCTGAGATCATGACCTGAGCTGAAGGCAGATGCTTAACTGACTGAGACACCCAGATGCCGTCCTTGTTTGTTTTATACATAAGGTGCCAGCGTTTTGTTTTTACTTAGTGAGGGGGAATAGGTGAAATGTGTTCACTCCATCCTCCCAGAAGCAGAAGTCCTCTCACACTCTTACTTCAGTGTATCATTTGTTCTTCAATATTTCATACATATGTCACAGTTTTTGATAACTCTGGTCATTGAAGTTCTCCAGGCTCTCCGTATGTTGTTTCTTCTTTCTCAGTACCTTTAGTGTTGACAGTTTGTTTTCAGGGGAATTTGCACTTGGGATGTGTGAGCGTGAGAAGGAGAGACTCCCAGAGACACAGAGAACACACCTATGCGAGAGAAATCATTGACTGAACCTTATCTCTGAGATTCTCCAGACAAGAAATTCAGAATGCTTTGCTCCAAAGAAGATTCTCATTCTCCCCGGATGTGATGCAGGGGTTGCTAATTGGTTGGGGCCCCTCCAGCCCGTGTCCAAGTTCTTTCTTGGAATGTGTTCATCTCAGGTTCAAGCCCCGCACTTTCTGGTGGGGGCGCCTAACACTTGGTTGCCATATCTCCGTGGTGGCATTTGCGTTTGTCACCAGAACTCAGTGTTTTTTCTTCTTTGCTGTTTATTGATGCCTGCTCGGATTTCTGTTTCTTTTACTTGCTTATTTGGGGGAGGCCATGGGGTACGGGTTGGGGAACATACTTAATTCTGTCATGTAAAAAAAGAATGTCTGGAAAGAAAGAAACGTGTTTGCTGTCCTTCATCCAGGTTCCAGTCTGTAGCAGAAGAGTCTGCAGAGGATCTTGTTTGCCAGAGGATTTACAGTTCCCAGTCAATCCCAGGATTATTTTCTCTTATTAGACATCTCTGCTGCTCATGTCTGTTTTTCTAGTCTCACCATGAACAGAGAGAGTGGGGAATAAGAATGAGCCTCTGTTCCTAATTTTTTTTTCTTTTTTTTTACTGACATGTTTCTCAATTTTCTCTTTAGGGCAGAAAAGACTGAAGTTCTGAGTGAAGACCTTCTTCAGGTAAGGTCGTCACCAGCCCCTATATACGGACACCAAACATGTCTTCCCATTACAACTTGAGCTGTTTCAACTGCGCAGACCGCTCTTGGTGCAATCTCTGTAGATGCAACCTTTTCTCCTTTACGGTCTCTTAATACCAGTTTGCATAAGAGTTTTCAGGAGACATGGCAGTCATTTGACTGTGGGGTTCACAGAGAGCCCCTGACTCTGCCATTGCCCGCCCCCCTCCAGTTCTCCAGCATTGGGTGTTGTCTCCCGAGCAATGCTTGTCTCTGCAGAGCATGGACCAGACTCCCCTCCCACGATCGTCCCGATCAATGGCCTGCTTCTCCTGACCTTGCCCTTGCGCAGTGACACGACCCCCCCACTGCTCTATCTGCAGGTAGAGAAGCGCCTAGAACTGGTGAAGCAAGTTTCCCACAGCACGCACAAGAAGCTCACTGCATGTCTCCAGGGCCAGCAAGGGGCCGAGGCTGACAAGCGTTCTGTAAGTGCCTTCCTACCCCCTTCCTCGCCAGCAGCTTCACCCCTGGAGGACAGGGCACCCACCCCGGAGCCTCGTTTGGTGTGGCTGTGTCGTCTCTCCGGCCATTTCTATGTCTGCGAGTTGTCAGGTGGTGTTTCTGTGGTGCGACAACCCCTTCTCATCTCTTCCCGCCCTTTAACCTGCCTGAAGCACCCCCCACCCTGAGCAGGCAGGACACGGTCCCTCTCTCTGTTTTTCCTGCATTGGGGCAACCAGGGTGTGCTTGGGAGTCCACTGTCAGGAAGCTTAAACCTGGGTCTTGTCTGCCTTAGCTCGCTCATAGATTCCATTCCGTGTGCTTCCGTGGTACCATAAGATCTCCCGGAAAAAATTACACTGTGGTTTTGGAAGTGACAGGTGACCTATAAAGACCCTGGGAAAAGGATTTCCCCTATAACGAAACAGTTAAAGAGAGCCAAATGAAGGTATCCTAACGTCTTTGTGTGTAACCTATATCAGTACTCACGGGCGGTGCGTATTGTGATTCTGTTGAGCAGTTCTTGCTGTAAACAATCATCATCACTGGCTCACTTTGCCCCCTGACCTCCTGCCCCGCCCCCAACTCCACCAAAGCTTAAAATACTTACTTAGATGTTCCTTTGGCTTTATGACAAGGGATCTGCAATCTGGGACGTTTTAATCCTCCTGGAGTTTAGAGTCGACGTGTTTGGTGTCTGATTGTCTCTCACCTGGAGTTACTTGACTTCTGCTTCCCAGTGGTCTCTCTGAGCCCGCCCCCCACCCCCCAGCTCCCGTGGCCTCCTTTCTAATGACGGTCACATGATGTGTCCTGACACTTCATCCCAGTCCCACGCTGCAGTACAAGATGCCGCGCTGCCTGCCCCTGTCCATCGTTCTGTCTTCTTCCCAGCCCTGGGTGTCTTCTTCTTCTTTTTTTGAGTATCCATTTTGACTTTTTTATTTATTTTCATTATGTTATGTTAGTCACCATACAGTACATTCTTTAGTTTTTGATGCAGTCATTCACGATTCATTGTTGGCGCACAATGCCCAGTGCTCATTGCAGTACGTGCCCTCCTTAATACCCATCACTGGGCTCACCCATTCCCCCACCCCCTTCCCCTCTGAAACACTGTTTCTCAGAGTCCATAGTCTCTCATGGTTCCTCTCCCCCTCCGATTTCCACCCCCCTTCATTTTTCCCTTCCTTCTCCTAATGTCCTCCATGTTATTCCTTATGTTCCACAAATAAGTGAAACCATATGATAATTGACTTTCTCTGCTTGACTTCTTTCACTTAGCATAATCCCCTCCAGTTTCATCCATGTCGGTGCAAATGGTGGGTATCCATCCTTTCTGATGGCTGAGTAATATTCCATTGTATCTATGGACCACATCTTCTTTATCCATTCGTCTGTTGAAGGAGCCAAGATGCCCTTCAACAGACGAATGGTGTCTTCTTTCTTAATATTGCCAGCAGGAATCTCTTAATGTGTGGTAGAAATGAAACGTTCATGGGTTTGGAAAATGTCTATGGAAGTAATTCTGTGTATACCGGGACTTTCAGCAAGGGGAACCTGAACAGTCTAAAGGGAGAGTCTGGAAAATTGCTTTGGACATGAGACCCATTCATTAAACAAACATCTAAGGTGGGACTCCAGGACATAGATGTTTTGAGTAGGGGCCTGCTGCCAGGCCTGGCCATGACCCACTTCCTTTCATCTGTTCTAAGAAGTACTGTTTTTAAAATAACTGGTCTACCATACAGAATAGGATCAGGAGTAGCAACTGAATATTATCTCTAGAGGGTTGAAACTGGCCTTTGGTGTTGCCAGGTTGATTACTACTAGTGTTATTTTTTCTGGGATGAGGTAAAATTGCCTGGATGTGTCGGATTTGAATTGAATTGAGGATCTTGCAAACTATATCCGTTAGGCATTTGGCTCCCTATGTGTTCTGAAAGATAGGATATTAATAGAAAATTTAAGATCTGGCAAGGCCAACAGGTCAGGGGATCACTGGCATTGAAAATGTAAATTTGATGGGGGGTCCACCCTGTGTCATGCAGGGCCATGCGGGGAAGCACCAGAGTTACTCAGGATAGGAGGAAAATGTGGGCGAGAGACATGATTGTGCTTTCCCCTGGGAGGAATGGATGAGGCAGGATAAGCAGGCTTAGTTAGGATTGGCTTGTTTGAGAAACTTCAGCAGGCTCTCATCCCTAGTTGTCTGGTACCTGGCCCTGAGGGGATTAAGGCAGGTGGACGGTGGCCTGGAGAATGAGAGCCCCATAAAGAGGTAGTTGGGGTGTAGGCTAGGCTGTGGATTGGTTGGTTTTCATTTGACAGGCACGCTCATGCGTGAATTGTTGACTGTCTCTAAGTATTGGCTAACCCCAGCAGAGGCAGTTCCCCCAGGTTCAGCAAGACACCAGATGTCAAAGCCTCAGAATACAACCAAATAGAAGACATAGTTAACACACTAATTAATTGCGACTTCAGCAGAAAGGCACTTACTATGTATCACTTCACAAGATGTCTGGAGTAGCGGGTCCCAAGGTGTATTCAACAGCTTTGGGTCAGCAGTTCTGCAATGTTCTGGCTCCTCCCAGTTGTAATGAGGCTGCTGCAGCCCTGGACATCACGTCTTCACGTAACCACATCATAGGCAGAAAGTGTGAGGGTGGGTGTTAAGAGGATGAACTATCTTTGCGTGCTTTTTTTTTTGTTTTTATCAGGGAGAAAAAAGTCTTTCCTGGGAGAATTTCTTTTATGTCTCCCTGCAAGAGAGGCTGAGGAAGTGAGCATGTGTTGGAGAGAATTGGGTTTGCCTTGACTGACCGTGAGGCACCTGCTGGGACACACGTGATTGGGCTTCTGTTGGCAGGGAGGGCATGCAGTGGTATGGTCAGGCCCTGAGGGTTGCAGCCACAATGATACAGTGATCACCATGCAAGCTGGATACCCATGGGGTTGACCTGGAGGAAGTATGTGCTGGAAGTGGGTGCTGAAGTATGTATAGGTCAGTGATTTCCCCACACAGGCTTCGCATGTTTGATTGGGTCATTGATTTCTTGAGCTGATCAGTCTTTTCGTGTCTTCATAGGACTGAATATAGGATCCGGCTGAAAAGAAAGTCGGAGAGCTGTTTTAAATATTTAACAGCCACAGACCGGCAGGAAAAAAATGTCCAAGGCCATGACTCAAATACATTTTTCCAGTTTTTTCTAAAGTAACACATCAAAGGATTTAATAGGACACATGACACTTATTAATGGCCTCGGGTACTGAAATATGTACTCGGTTCTTTGAGATTATTAGGAAAGGAGATGTGTCAAGATCTAAGGAACAGCGAAAAGAAAAAGAGATTAAAAGTGAGAAACCAAAAAAAAAAAAATTGAAGGGGGAAAAGTGGGAGTGAGGGAAGCAACGAACAAACACTAAATGGGGAGGTTGGGTGTGAAGAGAGGGTTGAGAGGTTAATACAGAGAAGAAACTGATGGCGGCCAGAGGGGAGGGCGGTGGGGGGAGGGACGGGTGACATGGGTGGGAGGGCAGTGGGAGGTACTAGCTTTCAGTTATGGATTGTACAAGTCAACAGGGATAAAGGCACAGCATAGGGAACATAACGTATTGTAATGGTGCCATATGGTGACAGATGGCAGCTATGCTTATGGTGAGCATAGTGTGCGTGTGTATACAGTTGTTCAATCACTGTGTTGTACACCTGAAACTAATGTGACATTGTGTGTCATCTCTCCTAAAGTAAAGGGGGGGGGCGGTCAGGAGATGGTTGTTCTCTGAGGGAATGAGGCCATCTGAAGTGAGCACGTGGGGCCCTAGCGTCTCAGAATGGGAAGGGACTATAAGAGTGTCCAGGTAGAGGGGCGCCTGGGTGGCTCGGTGGTAAGCGACTGCCTTCAACTCAGGTCATGATCCTGGAGTCCTGGGATCGAGCCCCGCGTTGGGCTTCCTGCCTGGTGGGGAGTCTGCTTCTCCCTCTGCCCCTCCCCCATCTCATGCTCACTCACTCTCTCTCTTTCAAGTAAATAAATAAAATCTTAAAAAAAAAAAAGAGTATCCAGGCAGTGTTGGGCATTTTATTAGAGCATGTGACACGTTGCTATTTGTCACTTCTTTTTAAACAAGCTCATTAGCCCTTTAGCAGTTGAGTGCAGTTTCCAACACCAAAGCTTTTATCATATGCCTCTAAAGGTTTGGCTCTAAAAACTGGGGCTGGCTGTCACATGGGAGTAGACAGAGATGTGGAGTTTTGTGGCTGCAACCTGAGTGACCAGAGCAGGGTTATTCGGTGAGCACGGAGTTAAACTGGATTCCTTATGTGGGATGGAGAATAGAAAGGATACGAATTAGGTTTCCATTTTGCTTCCTTCAGTCCAAGCTGATCGCCGGTTATTTCATCGGTTTTTAAGACCGTCAGCATAAGGAAAATGTTTGGTTTTTCCCTGTCCTTGCATTTCTTGTGGGGAAGTAACATTCAGCAAATACACCATTAGCGGGAGTCCTTCTCCACCTTCCTCACTAAATACTTGGAAAGCGCCACGTCCACCACGCAAGGTGGCGCATCTGCCAAGTGCTGAGCAAACCCAGCAGGATCCCCATCCTCTGGAAGCTCATGGTCTTCCAGGGAAGCAGCTGGTACACGGAGTCATTAGTTCCTCAGCTGAGGTTTCAGGGTGAAGAAGAGCTCACTAGGAATTAAATAGTCGAAGGTGTCTGTGAGGAAGTGGCCTTTAAGGGCAGCAGAAGGGAATGGCAGCCAAAGGGATGAAGCTGCTTCTAGGACGGGGCAACAGCTGCAGAATTTTCAGAGACAGGAAGGAGTTGGGGGCATCTTTGAGAGACACGAAGGTGGCCAGTGACTAGAGTATGGACAGCGACAGGGAGAGGGGCCGGAGATGGGACTGCGGGGACCCCATCGCACCTTAGAGGCCATGGTAAGGATTCGGGGGAGCCAGTGCTTTAATCAGAAGGGGCACGG